ATTGATTATGACAATTGTCACCTATCTATGATACATCCTCACTGAATTTTTAATTTAACATGTTTAGAATATATATTTTTAGCAATTTGCTTTAAAAAAACTCAAAAAAGTTCAAAAATAGCGATTATGACAATTACCACTTATCTATGGTACATCATCACTGAAATTTTGATTTAACATGTCTACAATATATATTTTTATCTATTTCATTTAAAAAAGTTCAAAAATAATTATCATGACAAATGGCACTTTTCTATAGTACATCACTTAAAAATTTTAAAATATAACTATGATGAATAGTTAATCAGAGCATTATAATTTAAAGAAGCTTTAAGTAACTTTCCCGCCTATAATATTAATATATACTAAATGTTATTTGACTTTTGGTCGAAAAAATGATCTAGATAATTGGGTTAGGGGTGAAAAAAAGCAACCCTAACTTTAAGTCGTCTTTAAAAAAAAGATCCATATTTTGGGTCGGATTGAATAAAACGACCCGATGTTTGAGTCTGAGTCAGAAAAACGACCCAAACTTTGAGTTGGAGTCGAAAATTACGACCCAAACTTCAAGTTTGAGTCAAAAAATATGACCCAAACTTCAAGTTTTAGTCGAAAAATACGACCCAAACTTCAAGTTTGAGTCGAAAAATATGACCCAAACTTCAAGTTTAAGTCGAAAAATACGACCCAAATTTCAAGTTTGAGTCGAAAAATACGACCCAAATTTTGAGTCGGAGTCGTAAAAAACGACCCATATTTTGGGCCGAAGTCGTTTTTTTTGGCTTGGACTTGGGTCGGAGTCGAAAAAAACGACCCATATTTTGGGTCAAAGTCGTTTTTTTCGGCTTGAACTCTGGTCGAAGTCGTAAAAAACGACCAAAACTTTGAGTTGGAGTCGAAAAAAACGACCCAAAATTTGGGTGAGCTCTGTTCGAGCCGACTCGGCTAAGCCGATTAACAACACTATTATAATATATATATCTCTATATTATAATTTTCCGATGTCCTCACTACTTCATCGGTACGTCATGTCATCGGTACGTATTTATTTATTTATTTGTTTATTTTATTTATTTATTTTATTTATTTATTTTATACAAACAGATGATCCTATAATTTAAATTTTCTATGCAACTGTAGGAGGCCATATTAAATATTTAGTAATTTTACATATTTTTATATACTTGTTTTAATATTTTAGTGTTTTATCATTTTTTTAAATAAATAAAAAGTATCATGTATAAAAAATAATAAAATAAAATAAATAAAATAATTTAATGAATGCGTGATATAAAATTTAAACATATCACTATTAAATAACCAAATATATAATATTTTAATTTATTAATTCCTATTATATATCAGTTTTTCAACATAATTAGCCAAAACTCAACTAGACCAAGTACAAACCAATTGAATAATTTTACACATAAACTAACTAATTTGCAAACGCCTGAAGACGAAAAACATTTTGATCAGGCGTTAAACAGGTAAAGAGCTAACTTCATAAATGACACTGAGCACAGAACCGTAGAAGAATGGTAGAAACTTTTTAAAGGTGATCTAGCAGAATCCATTAGAAAAAATAAATCAACTTAGAGCGAATAGACTTTAATAGCCACTTATGAAAAACCATATAGAGATTACTATGGAGCGATAGACAGATCAACATCTTAAATAAACCCTTTTATATTGATAAAGATATGAAAGAAAATAGAATTTATTACGCCAATAAAAAATTTAAATATTGTAATCCTCACAGTTATAGAAAACTGTATAGTTTTAAGGAACGATAATGTAATCATTAGCCAGGACGAACAAATTACAGTATGGCTTGATCATTATATGATGGTCTTCGACTCATCAAAAGTAATTCCACCCACAAATATAAACATAAATTACTCCCCACCCCCGAATGACTTCTCCATTAATGAAATATCCAATGTGGTCCAAGGAATAAGGAAAAACAAAGCTCCGGGTCTTGATAATACCGCAAACATAAGTACCTGTAACAATAACTTTCTTCCTATTAGCCTTCTTTAATAAAATAGGGGAAAGCGGAAAAACTTCAGTAGAATTGAACAAATCCTTTCTATATAATTTGCCTAAAATCAAAGATCCACAATAATCCATACAGATTACCAAGCTGTATCTCTTACATCCTGCATTTCAAAGATTTTTATGGTCCTCTTAAAAAATAAAATTGTATCATCCACACCCCACCTTTTCCCCAAATATATGTTCGTATAAACCAAACAAAAACACACAAGAGACAATATTAGCCCTAAAATAATCATATAAAAATGTTGCAGATACTAATTACCCTTATACTTCATCATCGTAGATTTCCGTAATAATTATGAAGCTCTATGGGCAACGCTGTCAGAGTGCGATATAGAACCCACATTATTTGCATTTTAAAAAATCACTACTCCAACCTACTTGCATGCTTTAAAATCAATAATAAAATATTCCCTTCCTTCAGTATTAAAAAGGTGTAAAACAAGGTTGTACTCTATCAACACTTTTGTTCAACATCATAATGAATAAAATTATTAAATGTACTTGGCGCGGCTATTCTAATAGATTAGGGTTAAACGAGATGCAACTCTTAGAAAATAAAGTAATATCATATGCAGATGACTTTGTAGTGATAACCAAAAATATAGAAGAAACCAAAAACTTACTCTACCTATTAAAGACCTTAAATCAAGAGAAAAATTTCATCAATATAAATTTCATATTATTAAATCAATTGTTTGTTTGATGTTAACATTTACATATAGTAAATCAAGATCATCAAGATATATATATTTCAAACCTCAATATAGATAGAATTCATTTAAGTGTTACATAGAGGAATTTAAATTTAACATCAATCACTTCTCACCCTTAAAGTAATTTAATTAAGTTGAAAATCTCGGGTATAGGCTATTGCTTTGCCCACTTTTTATTTTATCTCAGACTTTGTGCATACAAATAAGTGCGGCTTGCCCCCACTAATAGGTAGAGAGCTTCTCATTTTTAATTTTTTTTACACAACTTGATTAATTCCATTTAGATGGAAATAAGGAATACCAACCATAGCTCTGTTGCATTTTCAACGATAGAGGGTAAAAACACTATAAATCATGTATCACGTAATTGTTTGTTTGGGTATAAATTTAGTTTCGATTTTCCATATTACAAAATTAATTGTTTTTATATTATTTTATTTTTTTTTACCGTTCAGAATAAAATTAAAAGTTAGTTGTTCATTTTGAAAGTGAATGTATGTGCAAGAATATCATTATGATGTTCAAATTTAATATAATATTAATATAATGTTAATTGCGATTAAATAAGATTTATATAGCGCACTCTTGTAAATTTAAATGTATTACAAGATCTATAATTGATACATATTTTTCATAATTTGATGAATACTTATAGATGAATAATATTATAGACCAAAAAGTAAAATAAATCAACACTTCTGACTATGATGGTTCCGGAGGTATACAACTCCATTTACGATCTTGTTTATCCTAAAATCCCTGGACAATTAAAATATACAGAAATAATTGATCTGGTAAAAAGAATTATCAAGTTAAAACGAAATAAATTCATGAACAATTTAAATTTCAAATAGCGGGGTAATCAGTAAATGAATCAATAATAAATTTATTGTAAGATTAGAATGGCTCTCAAAAACTTACAAATATGGAGAAAATCTTAATAGGATACTCCAAGTTAGATTTGTGGCAGGCGTAAAGAGTAATAATATAGTATCGAAATTATTATTAACTGAGAATTTAATATGGGAGATAGCAAATAATATAGTATAACCTTGGAAAATACCAATTAAATAAAGAGAATGCAAAATAATGTGTTGATAAACGATATTGAGAAATGGGAAATTCAAAAAGAACGTAGATGTGATTGTTGTGGCAGAGATAATCATATGAAGACTTCATAGATTGAATTTTTAACAAGTATGGTATAAAATAAAAGGAGATTTATCAAATGTATGCCAGTTGATAGGTACGATATAAAATAAAAAGAGGAGGAAAGGAAGAAGAGACCAATAATAAAATCTTATATAAATAATATTGAATTAAAAATTGTATATCGTATCATTACTAAATAAAAAAACTTTTGATGTACTCTCATATATGCATGTATGTATCAATATATAAAAAACAAGTATAATTACATACAATTTTAGAAAAAATTTAAAAAATAAAAGATATAAATTTAATTTTTTTTATTGTACATAATGGTAGGAATATAATTGATAGATATGATTTAAGACATTATCCGAATTCGAAAAGATAATTCATAACATTAATTTAAATACTATTCATGAAATTAAGGTAAGATAAATTATAGAGTGAAATTTTCTAAGTTACTTATGCCTAAATTATAAACATTACTTAATTTTAAAGCAAAAATAACTTAAATGAAAAATGCATAAAAAATGGTTCTCTAAGGTACATCTGTTACCTTTGTGAAAAAGTAAGATTAATAAAACTTTAAATATTGGTAAATCGTATAGCCACACATATAGCCCATAGTTTAAAAAATGATGGGAGGATTGTTTGAGTAGGAATATATTGATTATTGATTAGACTCTATTGATGATTATTTTTGCATTGGCATGATATAATCGTTTGATTTATAACCATCATAATAATAATAATCATTAATTAAACAATGCAATTTATATAAATAATAATAGCAATAATAATAAGAATTATAATTTATAATTTGAGATTATGCTAATTAATCTATTAATTTTCTTATCTCTCAATTTATTACACTATTTGCATTACTTTAAACAATAAGTAATTTAAATATATCCACAAAATACCAATATATATTTTTTGAATTTAAATACAATTGTATTAACAAATCTATCTTATTAGTTTTCGAAAAAATATGTATCCGTATGAAATATGAAAAAATAATTTTATATTATCTCATCCATCAATTTTAATTTTTTTTATTTTAAAAATGATTAATATTTTTTATTGAGTTTATATTTTTATGCAATTTATTTAAATTATAAAGTAATTATGGGATCAAAATTATTTTATATAGTCATGTATATCTAAAGAGAATGAAACTATGTTTCATTTATACCAAAACCAGGAACAAAATATGCATTATTTAAATTTATATTCTAATATATCGTCATCTCCTTTGATGCCTATACATTCACCAAATGCTTCATCCATGCTCACACCCTTATCTAACATCCCTGAGAATTTAAATATATCTGACATTGCAACTAATATTCATAATTTAAATCACAATCATATTTTACAAAATGGAATAAATAATACACTAAATTCTATCAAAAATACATCACTAGTAAACATATCTAATCTTAATAGTCCATTATCACATAACAATGGTAATATAATTAATAACACAGTCGGGAATAACAAAGGAAATAAAAATTCTACCTCAAAGAGAACAAGGCAAACTTCTCATAAATTCAAAAATGAATTGTGCAGAGTTTGTGGTGACAAAGCATCAGGGTACCATTATAAGGCAATTACTTGTGAAGGGTGCAAAGGTTAGAATTATTATATATGACTTTCTTTCTAATTTTTATTAACCCTTAATAATCATTACCTAGATATAAATTTAAAAATATAATTTAATTACTAATACCATTAGGCATTTAAATTATATTTTAATTTTAAAATAAACATTTTTTAAACCTTTATATTTAACAAAGCTCATTTTTTTTAGCTTCAAAGACAAATTTGAAACATTTTAAAGCTTAAACTTTTTGAAAATTTTAAGAATATTTTAGACATATTTTTATTTTTCAGTAGAAAGAGGGTTGAACTAGACCAGTTTTAAAATTTGCTTAGACTCCAATTAATGAACCTCTTGCCTGTCAAAAAAGGAAAACATTACATTAATTTGATATTTTTGCCAAATATCAATTTCACAAAATGATGGTCATTTTGTTAAGTTCGAGCCATGTTTAAATCCATTGATTTTGCTACAAGATGTATATAATTATATCCATTAGATTCCTATCTAAAAATACTTTTAATTTATAAAATTATAGATTACTTAAAGTAAAAGCTTTATATCAATTTAACATGTTTACAATTTTTTAAATTTAATAATAATAATTTTATATATAAAACATTAAGTTATTTGCCCATTTTACAATTTTTATATTGTTTACAATGTTATTAAACCCATTTTAGCTCATTTTTTAAAATATATTTTACTATCTTATTGCATTATTATTTAAATAATATATCACTTAACTTTATATTATATAAAACACTTATTACATTTTAATTCAATAACCATTATATTAATCATGCAAACATTTCCTATATAAATTTATTGATTTTTTTTTCTTCTAAAACTAATATCAAATAATTTACTAATTTTTACAAAAAAAAGGTAAAAAATTTTTTTTTTGTAAATTGTATAACGCTTTTATCCAATTAATAAATGTCAATTGCCATACTAAAACTACTAAATTACAAATAAAAAAACAATTGCCATATTAAATATGAGTTTAATTTTAGTATTTAATAGAAGAAACAAAAAAATTACACTTAAAATGCCACAGGTAGAAAGTGGGGGTGGGGGATGAAAATTTTAATCTTTATAGAATAAAGAGAATAAAGAAATGGAATAATTTTTTTTGGTCGATTTAAATCAGTCAAAACTCCAATAATTTTTATATCTTTTACTTACTATATTTTTAAATCAATAAATTAATCTTTTTTTTTAATAAAAAAAATCAAATTAAATATATGTTATCCCCTTATTTATCTAGTTCATTCAATTAAAAGAATTTTTTTTTTTAAACATAGAGAATCAAATGTGGGATATGTGCGTTGTATTAGTAGAAGGAAGTGTGACAATAATAAAATTCATCCATCCTTAAGGGAACTAATTTATATAAATCTAATTATAAACAATAAATAAAAAAGAAAAGAAAAGAACTATAATAATTGGTGGAGGGGGGAGCATTTATATTTAAAAAAAATATATGTATCATACATCCCCACACCCACATAAGGGGTTTTGTTATGTGGCTTATACGATAACAAACGTATCAAAAGAATCCCCCCTTAAATATTCTTTCTAGACACCGAGAAAAAAATGCAAAATGATAAAGTTTGGTTCTTATATATATATTTTTTTTATACTTACCATCTTTTTAACCCAATTAATTAATTATTTTTATTTCTTTTTACAAATAAAAATTATTAACTACTATAATCTTAATTTTATGACATGACATTATACTAAATAATACGTTTATCATGCACAATATTTAAATTGTTAAATGACATCAATTCCTCTTCCCTCCATTCCTACCACGGGGTGAAACCGGTTTAATAGGTATATAGTTGAGTAATTACTATATTTTTAGTCGTTCAAGCCAATTTTTAGCCGGATAAATCGGTTAAACCTCACTTTTGGGCTTGAGGTTTTTCTTGAAAAGATAGCAGCGAAACTAATATAAATTAGAATGCCTTAATGTTAAAGGATTTTCTCCGGCAAGCGCCTGAAGGTTGAGCCGAATTAACCAACTATACTATAATTGGGGAATCATCGAGGGCTGGGCCGACTGGCGAATTACATGTGACCCCATATTCGGATCACCTTTGATTTTTTTTTAGCATGACGTTAATTTTCAAAATTTAAAAATCATTATTTTTTCTTTTAAATTTTATTTTCAGTCTTAATTAACGATCACTATTTTCGCAGGAGACCTTGGAGTTTGGGTGGAAGTTGGTTTACAAACTAAGGTTACACGTAACTAAAACAGGTATAATTTTTGCTCCCTAGTTCTTATATTTTTGGAGACATATAAAGGGTCAAAAAGTATTATAAAAATGACCCATTTTTATGCTTGTCGATTTGCCATCCAATTTAGGATTTACTAGAAAACTGCAGAATTATAAATGATGATTATTAAAAAATTTTCTTAATGTGGCGGGAAAGGGTAACCACATTCTAATGTTTACTTCTATCTAGCAAATTTTTTGATGATTTTTATCAATTCTGGGTATTAACTCCTTATATATATTAAGAAGGGCAAACTCGTTCAGTCTATTTCCAGAGGTAGGAATTCTCAATAGCGTTTGAACGGCTCGATTTGAGTATATTTATAACAAATGAAAAAAAGCTTTCTCATATTTTTATAAATTTTTTTTTAGCAAAATCTAATGAAGACCAATCTATATTATCTGTAGTCAAAAAAAAATAGGAATGCCATGTTTTTGCTTTCGTGATAAAAATCTACGATAAAAAGCTATAAAAAAAGCAAAGAATTATTATTTTTTGGCATAATTATGTAATTAGTTCTAATATTATTTAAAATAGTTTTATATGGCATTCCTTCACATCACATATCCATATGCAAATATTTTAATTTTTGTAGACAAGAAAATGTTTAAACATGTCTTTTTAAATCATCCAAACTCACAATTTTTTTTTGTATGTGCTATAGATTCTCTAATATTATAATGATGTCATAAATACATTTTATATAAAAAACAGTACCGTTTGTTTTTTAGTCTTTTTTTTTAAAAAAAATAATCTATTTTCCTTATTAATTCCAGATACAGATGGGTCAATGGAATTTTCTTAAAGTTTTATAAAATTCGGTGAAACTCATAGGGGTGTTTGTAATTTTAGACGCTTTGTTTTTGTATTGAATGATGAGAAATATTTTATGATTTAACGACGCCGCAGAACAGTTTGGTTTCTTTATAAAGATACGTGCCCTTTCGCATCGAATATAGCGGGGAATATTACTTCTTGCCTGATTGGGTCCGCTATTAGAAATTTTGAACTGCGTTTTTGAACAATATACACGTATAAAATGACTTCTACTAAACTAGTTCGGAAACATTTAAAAAAAAAAAGAAAACCATACGTAAAAATATCATCCACCCCTTTCTTCGTATTATATTCAATTGCCCTCCAGAATATCAATTTTTTTTTGAAAGGTAAATGAATTCTTAGAAAAAAAATATGAAAGGAATGAAAATGTAAAAAAAGAAGAGAATAAAAGAAAAGAAAGAAAAGAATAGAAACGAAACGAATAAAAGAGAGAGAAAGAGAGAACAAAAGAATTTGAAATATTTTTTTTAATTTCTATAGTAAATTAATTTCGTATTATGATATATAAATTATACACTTATTTACTTTCAATTTAGTGTTGAGTGAACTATCAAGATCTAGAGCCCGAGCCCTGTCTGATTTTTTTAAAAAAATAAATAATGGTTTTGTCCCTTAATCAAAGATAAATTCTAAATTTGATAAAACATTGGGGTCTGCAGCCCCGGAATCCCTTCCGGCTATGAGATTGATCAGGCAGAAGGAACCGTAAAATGATACGAATTTTTAAAATAACATAAAGTTGAAAAATCCGAGCCAAACTCATAAAATTTTTGTCAATTAATCCGGTGATAATACAGCGTTATATTCATTTATTGTTCATATTCTCAATTCCTCTTGGAAAAATTTGCATAATACAAGCCAAAGAAATAACGTAATTTTGAAAATTCCAGGCTGTGTTTAAAATTTCGATCCTCTGTAGATTTCTTTGTTAAAACAAGAGGAGACATCATTTTCTGTTATTTCCAAAAAAAAATTTCCAGTCAAACTATGCTCTGGCCGAAATATTTTTAAAATTTTGCCGACTAAAATCTACCATACCAACTATAAAAAAAAATTTCCGAACACTAATAATTTTATTTACTACCTTTTTTTGTTATATCGCGGGGCGTTATTATCCATATGACTAAATCCCTAAGAGTCCCTAATCCGTTGCACTGCTCGCCTCCCATTGGAGAAAACTATTCCAGATATTTTGAAGAAAAGAAAATATGATAAAAGATAGTTTAAAAAGATATTAATGGGAACTATACACCACATTTAAAATTATATCATCTTAATACAACAAATGCCTACTTAGCTATAAGGCATAGGTGAGAGCGAGAACCGATGGAGATACCAATGGGAAACATGAGAACTAATTAGAAGGGAACAAGAGAATCAATTAGAATTAGATCTGTTTGGGATACAAAATTATGATTCCAATAGTTTATGATCACGTGCCGTTTTAGCACGTGTTCATATGAATAAGAGTCAGTGTGCTATTTTCCAGTTGTTTTTTTTATTTTTTTAAAAAAATCCAGTTCTTTATTGATTTACGAAAAAAAAATTAATCGATACAAAAAATATATTTTTTTTATCCGAATTAAACATAAAATAAGTTATGTAGAACAAATTCATATTTTATGGATTTTATTTTATTTTTGATTTGTAATTTAATTTAAAAAAAAATAAATAATAATTAGGTTTACGATTTATCAAAATAATTAGAAAAAATGGAAAAATAAGAAGAGAATGAAATTAAAGAAAAGGTGAGATGGAAAGAAAGGAAAAAGGGAAAACAGAAAAAAATATAAATGATTCTTATAGTACTTGCATACAAATCGAAGGGCAACGTTTTTGATGTTTGAAGCGGTGTTTTTTTTTGTTAAAGAAATGTGAAAAAGGGGTAATGATTTAGAT